GAAATCATATGGGATAAATAACTGTGCATTTGCACGAATAAGTGAATAAGTGCTATAATAGGGAAGTTACATGAAAGGCCACAGAACACCTCGCAACAAGGGCATGCAAGTATTCGCCAAACCGGCTATCCGGTTAAACCGGATAAAAGCGAATCCGGCCTTGAAAGCCGGTTATCCGGCTATCTGGATTTAAATAAACAGAAATTCTGCTTATCCGGTTATTCGAATATTCGAAAGTGAATATTTAGTTTCGCTAAGAGCTCATTTCAAATTTAACTGCTATTAGATACGCACCGACACAACATGCGCAGCTCATTAATTTATTACTGATGTACTCATTATAGGTCCATGGAAGGACTTCTCGTTTCTCAACTGTGCATGCGCTTTCACACCATGTGGATATTCATAACTAACAGAATGTTTGTGAACGGGTAATCACTAGCTACCTTTCAAGAGGCGTTATCACTAGTGATTCATGTAATGTCCCCACCACATTAGGAAAAATGAACAATGTGGGAAGGTCAATAAAAGCACATATCGGGCTTGTATAAATGGTTGCATTGTTTACTACAAACACGAGAATCCAAGAAAAACAAATATTTATCCAAGCTTTACAAAACGAAAATCCGGTTATTTGATTATCCGAATATCACTGTATTGTTAACCGAATAACCAACCGAATATCCGGTCAATCTGGTTATCCAGTTTTGGAAGTCGAATAACTGATGAATCGAATACTTTGCCGCAAAACCGGTTTAATGTTGCTGCCCTACTCCCTACGTTCGGTCGTCACATAAACACAGCAAACATGTGGTGGTAAGCATGGGTCGTCTGCTCGTGTAAACCTAAAAAGTGGTGCCCGACCTGACGCATCGCAGCACCACATTGCGGCTCAGTTTCAGTGCATAATACCCATAAAAATACTGCTTTTTCTTCACTACGCGTGAACGTTTTGTCTTGCCACTTCAGATTGTATATTCTTCGCTTCATATTGAAGGCACAACTTTCATTCCAGCATTTCACAGCAGCCGGCGAAGACGCCGAAAGGTTGCACAATGTGCCGTTTTCTTTTTCCTTCAGAAAGAACCACCATGGGCTAAACTTGACGTTAGGGTAAAGCATGCCTAAGTATTTTCAACTTTTCTCAGCTTATGAGTACTATGCGTATAAAAGGGGCGATGCCACCAATCTTGTAGTTCGCACATTCTTTGCTGCAAGCGTTTCGTATAGGGACGCTGCTGTCTTATAGCTACAGAAAACATGATACATGCCCCAATGTTCATGTATTCTTGCTAAGGGCCTGTACACGTGCTCTCCGCATGGCCGTACCGCACGTGGCGTGGCGCCTGCCGTACGCAAGCGGATGGCTAAAGCGCGTCGCCGATTCACTCTTTCACCCTCTGCTTGCATGCGGCTGGAGTCACCCCAAGTGTGGTACGGCCGAACCGACAGCACATATACAGGACCTAAATAGTTTAATATCGCCTTATTTATGTGGAAAAGTCTCAGTTTGAGTTTCTGGGTGCCGAGTTGGGCAATGACAACGTAGCAGTGTAAGTGGCTTGGTCACATGACCGCACAAGGCTGCGACGCATGTCCCGTTGAGTATCGTCTGTTTTCGCACACACGTGCCACACAAATACCAGCAAAACAAATGCACTAACAGTTGCCACGGCTAGGTGCAGCAGCCGCGAGCAATGTAGCAATTGATGCTCTGCCGGTACATGCGTTGCAGAGATGACGGAAGTTACCCACATCACTAATGATCTGGTGTGACTTCACTACAACTTCCGTTGCCCTTCTTATAAAGCTACCTCTGTGTTTGATGTGCTATTGATGGGTCTCGATTGGGAAAATGAGCATTTAGGCACACCTTAGGAATGAATTAAAATATATTCTAAACATTTGCTGTGTCAGACTCTTCGTGTGGAGTGTCCTTTCATACAGAGGAAACCCACAAAAGTCTTGTTATAGCCTCGAAATGTGATGGGTGAACATCCAATGGTTCGACTGAGCAGCAATATCGAAATCTCAGATTAAGCTGCACAAGCATGGCAAAGTTACTGACCAAATGTGAATGACACAAACCTGCTCCTGAATAAGAAAATAAACTATGGAGACTATTCTGTACACTGTCAATTTGAGCCATATTGTCAAATTTCATAATGTAGACATTTTAAGCCAATCAGAGAAGCTGTAGTAGCTCTCCAGGACAATCAGTGTTAATTTATGGCAGATTTCGACAATGTGGTCATATTTGACACATATCCAGAATGGCATTCATCGGAATCACCCAACAATTATGTAACGCCATAGAAGAGAAACATTCATGCGCATCGCTGTGGGAGGGACACTGATAACTGACATTTTATCTCGGGTTGTAACTAGGGCTGTGCGAATGTTCGAAAATTTCAAATAAAATGAAACAGCTGTGCTCGAATCGAATAGAGCACATTCGAAATATTGAACGTCTTTCAAGTGCTTTTCGAACAATGGACACAGACGAGAAGACTCCAAAGAAGAAAAAACAACGTAGTTATAGTGAGGGATGATTTTTGCTGCTTAAATTTATTAATTAAGAACTAAGATGCATGCAACCTAAGGTTTTATGGAACTACCAGGGCTGTATGGCGCACTGGCTGCACGTTCTTTTGTCCAATGTCACCTAAGCAAACACTTAATCCATAATCATCGTAATGTAACTCGGCATGACGTCGAGTCATTAAACTTTTCATGTTGCTGTTTTAATTAAAAAATCCTCACAAATTGAACACTGATTAACTGGTTTGGTTCAGCCTACAACTACAAATACATCGAACGCAGTCACTGCTATATTCGAGTTCATGACAGTGTATATATTTGTGGCTTTTTTTTTGTCGGCTAAATGCAATCTTAAAAGCATGTTCCCACATACACATCATACACCCGTGCACAGTATTGACTCCTCCGGTAATTAAGTGAATATTCCAAATAGGGATTTTAAGTGAAATTGTTTCATATCTGCTCGATGGCCAGAACCAACAAGATGTGACAGTGGTTGACAAGAACAGAAAGGCTGTGGTAAAAACAGTGCACCACAACTGCACTGTAAACTTCGCAGCACTCTTATCATGAAAACTGTTCAATAAGTGCACCTTTTGAACCAGAGCTGTGGGAGCTTATCATCAATGTCACAAAATCACTTCATTTCTGAATCAAATCTATCACAATGCAACTACTGCCCTTCGAACAAGTACGAAGATACACAACACAAATGGTAACGAAAACGCAACTTTATTTACTTCCGTCTGCTAGAAGCATTTATATCCATTGCTCTTATGAGGTAAATAATGGAAGGTAGATGACCTGCTGGTCGAGATTCAACAATGAAAACACCAGACACATTGACAATACTCTGCAAGTTACTCGACACCTCTTAAGGCACAGGTTAAGAATGATTAGCAAACACTTCAAAAGTTATCATTTAACTCTGGTGACACTTTTGTAGACAGGTTACGATGCTAGAACACATCTTAGTGAAAAGAATTTATTCTGAGATATCGTATGAGATAACTACTTTGCCATCTCTACAGAAGCATATTTTACTAATAAAGTCCTGTAAAAAACAAAGAAAAACAAAAAAACTGGCAGCTTTATGAAAATTACAATGAAATTGGGATGAGATGTTGGCTATTTGGAGCAACTCGGCAGCATGATGGAATTTTTTTATGTGCATGAAAGAGGTGCGTATGTTAGGCCTTTCCATTCTAGTACTTGATGCCACCAGCTCTAGTGCAATTCAGATTTTCGATATTTCTATCTGGGAGCGATTCTTGGTCATCTAACCAAGTGAATAGCTGCAAGTATATTTAGAGCATTATTATCATCATAATCATCATCATCAGTATAGCTGTTTGCAGAGATAAAAAATGGAACAAGTTTATACATATAATATTAGCAGTGCGACTGCCATGGGCTGCCACATGAGACCATGGACGATATACAAAATCCTCAATATGCGACGCGAGTATTTTTTTCTTGCAAGCTAGCTGCCCTGTCTTTGATGTGCTTGTGACTGAAACGCACATGTAATAAAAGCAAGAAACAGATCTCAGAGCATAGGTGTAATTGACGCGATGATTGAAAGCAACAGCAGTTAGGGTTGAGATAATCTTTCCATATATGGGATCGTACTCTAACAACAACTTTTCAGAGATGCGGCTTTTTAACGCCCATCAATTCCCATGCTGTGGAAAGATGTGCAGGTAGTACTTTCTACTTTCCATCACTGGACCACCAAAATTATACCCCGTGAAAAGTAACACTGTCGGTGAAAGTGATTGTCTCAGCATACGACCCCTTCGCTTGTACGGTAGTCCGACGGATGCCCTGGGTATGTTACCATTCGTGAGTGGCAGCTGATAAGTGGCAGGACATTCGTGAGTGGCAGCTGATAAGCAGATTTTCGCCAAATGACCCCTTGTATCAAACCATCTTCACGAAGCGGTACATTACTCGCAAATGAATTGAGGCAAGTTTAAGCGTAACCAAATGAAGTTAAGTGCTGTTTTTAAAATCGCGACATAGCCATTCATTCATCATAAGATTTAAATCTAACCGCTGTGTTTAGGAATGTTCTTGGACAAAATCTTGTTTACATTGACAACACAAATGCACATGAAATGGTAAAAATGCCCTGAATGTGTTGCTAATGAGGCAGAGGAACATCAACAAGTCAGAGCCAACTTTTTAACAACGGGACTTGTATTTCCCAAACAATATTTTGGTATTTCGATGAAATCAAGTCGCCCTTGTCAAAATCCTGACTCAAGGGATGGCCTTCATGTTACCGCAGTTTTTCACCACTTCGCTCAAACTTCAACGAGATTTTCAATAACACTTTATATGATACAGTATATATTAGGATAACATGCATAATGTAAAAAAAATAAAAATGGCGCCCCATCTTGCAAATGGCAACCACCGGCGAGTGTTAAGGTTGTGTTCTATCGAGGCATTATGCATTCGAGGTCTTTGGTATATTTTCGTAGCTGGGACGCAGAAGTCACACCGAGCATATCTCGGTCAAGTTGCATGAAGTGGCATGCTTTTTGAACAGGTCCACAAAGGTCGTGAGGGGACAGTGCACGGTGGGGCAGCCGGGAACTGTCACCGGTTGCTCATTGAGAAAGGTCACGACCTTCCGCTGGTCCGCAGCGCACTTGTAGAGGACGAATGCTACGTTGCCGTTGAATGGGCAGAGGAGGCTCGACCGCCAAGCCCGGTTCGCCTGTGTGCACAGTCCATCAGCCTTGAGCGGATCTGCATCGCGATTAAGGCCGAGACGTGCAATCACTTTCTTGAAGCCACCCGCATGCGAGAAGTAGAGGATCTTGTTCGGGTTGCTTGGATCTTTGGCCATAGCTCTGCAGAACAAATAAAAGTGAGGTGGCGTAAGAACAATGTGAGACTACAAACGATCGTCACGAAAATTCCAATTTTATTTGACGAATAACTTGAAACGCATGCCTCCTTCCATGCGAGCCAAGCGTATTCATACATCAGATGCAACACTATGGAAGCTGGCAAGACTTCTTGCCACAGACGTGCTCAAATCAAGAAATAGTTAATGATATTGCCACCTGTAACAGATTTTTTTCGTTCTTAGGCCCAGTAATAAACGAGGATACTTTGTGTCTCGTAAATAAATGAACCCTGTTACCCATAAGACTTTCAACAGACTATTCTGGATCACCTAGATTTTTTAATTTTCGTATTGTGGCTTCCATGACTAGTTCTGGTAGCAAACAGCCAGAGCAAACTGTGAAAAACGCGTTCAGAACGTAATACAAGCAAGACGCATGGACTTACACATTTCTCTGACTGAACTTTTTCCCTAACTTTAAGAGCGTTGGACCTGATGCATGAAATTTAGCATAGATAGGAAAAAACTGGCTCAAAGAGCTTGAACAGTAAAAACTATCTAGTAGTTATTCCATACAAATTTTGCTTCCCCGAATTCGTTCAAAAAGACTAGTAGTTTGGCCTTTTCTTTTGCAAAAGGTCTCATGGCATTAATGTTTGCCTTAATATGCCTCTGAAACTCCACATTGCTTTCCTCGGCATTCGCGCCCGTTTTCGATCATTTGCAAGACAGGGCGCCGGGAAAACCTATGCCCCCAGCTGCTATGACTGCAGAACTGAGGTTGACCTGTTATCTATTGAGGAAAGTGTGGCGTTCTCCGACATTGCCGATTACAGATGAGTGAAAGAGGCAGAAAGAAATGCCAGCCCTGCGCGGAACACACAAAAAATTGCAGCTAAAGCTAGTGCAGTGGCATTTCTAAAGCCCGTTCTGAACTCTCTTGCAACGACTACTGCAAGCACAGTTGCAAAATACTAAGTCATGAATCATCATAATTTCGCGAAGTAGGAAAGCAGCCACTGTACCATTATTCATCATTTCGTGAAGACATGAGGTAGCTGCTATGTGTCTGCAATTAGGCTTGTGCGAATAATGACTTATAATTAGGTTCAAAGCAAATTCGAAGTGAGTAGTGATATTGATCGAGTAATTTTGAATTGAATTTGAATAGTATATATCATATATAAAGAAAAATGGGTGTATTTATCATGACCTAACTAACTTGCAAAATATATATTGATATGTGGGGTGTAACGTCCCAAAACCACCATACGATAATGAGAGACGCTACAAAATATAGATATATATATATATATATATTTTTTAAAATTGAAATAGGGCCTCTATGCATATGCCTTTTTTTTTTTTTTTCGTTCAAAGGAAGACAGAACAACTCTGAGTAGTAGCAGGATTTGACTTTGGTAGGATGCAAGTGATAATCTGTGAAATACATAGCATTTTAAAATTTATTATACTTAGAGCATATAAGCCATTATAACAAGCTTTTATGCTTAATAAAAATGATGAATTGATTTGAGGGTAATGTGCTCATTTAAAGGGGCCATGCAACACTTATTTGCTTTATGAATTCACCACTGCAAAAATTTCAAGAGTCCGTCCATTACGAGTGGAGTAGCAAAAATTTGTCGCACGCTGCATTTGCATTTTCTCTTCTCGGTCTGGTGAAAGTGCTGGAAGCTAAGCAGGGAGTTATGGCTGGGGGAAATAAAGTAGGTGACGCACCTCGTGACCTTGAGCACATGCTCTCTCTCTCTTTTTTTTTTTTTTTGAAGTACATGGCTTTTCAGTGAGATCGTGCTCGCACGCGTGGGTAAGTGGCGGCCTCTTGCGGCGGCCCTAGTAACGACCGAGCGCACCACACTCAAATCGGCGAACGGCTGGTACAATGGCTGTGACGAGTGATCTTTCAACTTGTGGCCTCATTTGCCGAGAGAAGAGAGCAATTTTTTTAGCTAAGAGAATTTATTGTGCATTGCAGGTAGCGTGCTGTGCTATAACATTTGGCTCGCATGTACTTGGTGTTCTCGACTACCGATCGGCAGCCTTTTGTGACCGTGCTCATACAGTGTTGCAGGGCCCTTTCAAATTTAAAGAAGGGCTTCGCGGCAAGGCGATTTTTTTTATAAACAGGTGCTTTCACGGCTTAGCATTCCTGCACTGCAGTGAAACCACCTTTGCAAAAAGTTGCATGCGGATTAATATACACTTACTCGTTCATTGCGAATACTTCGAAATTTTATATAATTTAAACTCGAATCGAAGCGAATTACAATACTCTACTATTTCTTCGAATATTCGAAGCATTCGAATATTCTCACAAGCCCATTTGCAATGTGTTATGTATGCCTTGCTAAAGCTGTGGCTGGAGATGGTGAAAAATGATGGCTGAGCTCTTCGTGATGGGTGAGAAGCTTTAAGCTATTCACTTATTACACAGTGCACATTGTGTATGATGCCTGGTTGTTATTTTACTTTTTAACAGGCTATATTACGTCTACTAATGTTATTCCTTGCCCTGTATAGGGTCTTTTTACGAAGTTTCAAACACTGGATTGGCTCTAGAGTAGAATACATGATTGCACCGCAGAGGGCCCGTATTTAAGTCCCGTTCGACCGTAGATATTCCTTTCTTACTGAGGGCGACAGTGGTTATGGAACAACTATGCTACCAAAGACGATTGTTGTTGCGATCTTATAACGCCTTTTGCTGAAAAAAATAATAAAGAAGAAACTCACTCCAGTCGCTTCACGAGCTCCTCAATGACGGGGCATGCCTGGGCATAGTTGCGCTCGAGGCCGTACCCATCCTCGTAGTAGTCGTCCAGGTCGTCCTTGAACTCAACGGCCTTGAGGTCGTCCTCAGTGAAGACGGAGCACCACGGGGATTGGTCGAAGATGGCATACTCAAACATGCACCCACGCAGCAGCATCTTGAGGTCCCCTGCACAGCGACATTATTTTTAGTGGTAAAAAAAGCAATGGACTAACCCTGCGTGAAGGGCGTCTGTGTTGTATAAGTTGATGGTCAGTTAGAACAGCCCAGTGAGTTATTGCAAGAACAACATGCTCTAACACTTGTATAAAAATGACTCGGATGAACTTTTACGATACTACTAGAACTTTAAAGAACACTAAAGAGAAAAAATGACCTTGTTTGGATTGACAAACTGCACTCTGAGAACTGTAATGCCATAAGTTTCACTATCATGATTAAATAATAGTGGGGAAAATGAAGGTTGAAAGTAATTTTTAAAATTCGCGCTAAAATCCCCGCACGTGACGTCAAGAATTTCAAAATGTATTTTTCGTATTTTTGCAGCATGGCTTGACGAAATTTTCTGAAACTTCATATGCTAGAGCTATGGCACCAGCAGATGGCAATGTAATTTATTTTTATCCGTTAGAAGCTATGTAGAGCTCAGTAGACGCCTTCGAAATTTATGACGTCGCAATGAAAGGTTTGGGAATCCCAAGGTGACGTCTTGACCCGCATTTTCTTTTTGCTTGTTCTCTCGCTTACCAAGCATAGTCCCTTGGTAAGAGTGGTGTTTTTGGGATTGTCAAACTTTACTTTGCTCATAGGCATAAAATAATGCTTCTCTTTAATGTTCCTAAGAAATAACAGGGATAAAAACAAACGACACATAGGAAAGAAGGAAACAAGTGTTTTTTAAGATATCTTTAGGCTCTCTAACCCCTTTTTGCTCCCCCAAAACTTTCTAATGCTATGTTTTAACAACACAACAAAAATTTAAACAAATAGGTTGAAACAGAACAAATCAACCAAATATACCTAAAGAGGGAACTATGTTTAGAAGAGAGTTCTCGTAATGCGGTGTATGTAATAACATGCACACACACAAAAAGATAAAGCCTAAACTTATAAGGTAAGTGACAAGAAGCTTTCCTTGAGTTGAATGAAATAGACATACTACTGATAGCATCAGTGCAGCCTTGTCACGTGAAAGTTTTAGCTATCTTGATGTCAAAGGGGTGAAATGATTTCTATATAGCTATAATACTGGCAAAGACCTTTAAATAAAAAATCACATATGATGTTTTAATTACCTTTGAAGTATTCTATGTGTGTTATAAGCACATACACTCATTAAGTACACTGAAACCTCATAGTCATGAAGTTGCATCATACACAAAAATAAGTTCATTATAGAGATATATTCCTAACACTATTGTAAGACAGTTTTCTCTACTTCGTAATAAATGATATTTCGTTATATCTGGATTCGTTACATTGAGTTTTGAGTGTACTAGTAGTGGCGAAGAATTTCAGACTTAGTTCTTTATATTCAATAATTTGTCATATCCAGGTTTCTTTCATTGAGGTTTCATTATTACCATGATTTCTCGGGAATGGCTAAGAAGCAGCAATAGAGTAATGTAAAATATGGCGCACCTTTGGTAATGTTGAAGCCCAGTCGCCAGGTGAGTCGGTCCATCAGTCTTGACATGTACGGCCCCTTTTCGAAGGCTGCGACGGCGGCTGGGGTGTCTTCTTTCTCCTGAGGGCAAATGGCGAGATAAAGAGGGTGATTGTAAAACAAAAGAAAGTGCCTCTACATTTAACTACACGTATAGCCACATAGCAGTACAACCAAAGCTCATTAAAACCAAGTTGCATCTCACACAAAAATAAGCTCATTGTATCCAAAACTTCGTTATATATGTTCCAAGACTATTTTTCAGTTACTTTGTTATAACCGATATTTCGTCATATCCGGGTTTGTTATATCGAGGTTTGAGTGTACTTTTGCTCCACCCAGGTGACTCCTTTATTATATGGCAAAGCATTCGCATCCCAGCCTAAGAAAATAATGTGTGTCTGCTCCGCCCACAACCAATCCTGTCCCTCCCTCAGAATTTGCATAATTCTAGTGACATCAAATGTTTCTTAAACGCTTCAAAAAGTTTACTTCCCAATAGAGATCCATGCTTGGGTCTCTAGATTTAGATAGAAAATTTTATAATGTCCTGGTAAATCACGTCAGACATTGTGCCATCGCTGTTCAGCCAAATATGATGCTTTAGGTCATGGTTTCTCAAAGTGGGTCTCGCAGAATCTAGGTGTTCCACAGGTTCCTCCTCAGAGTTCCTCTAGCCACTGACCAATTTTTCGTGGTTCTGTACTTGCCAGGTCACTTAGATGGCGAAAGCGAAGTACGATCGATCTAAGATACCTCCATTACTTGTGCCTGAATGTTAGTAAGCACATCTTGGTTATTAATAGACATGCACGAGCTGCTGTGCGTGTCAGCAGCTTGTAGCCAGCCAGACCCCGAAAACGGGCCGCGTGTGGTTATGCTATTGCAGTTGAATCTCAGATGCCTTATGTTATCCCATGTGCATTCCCCTGTTTGAATACAGGAGCCAAAGATAAGGCAGTGGAGGTGCTGCAGCCATGTGCAACAAGATATGCTTATGAGCAGGCATTCTCGACACTGGCCTATCTGAAATATAAGTAGCTATCTGAATCCAGCAGCTGACATGCCACTGACCCTGTGCGTGAATGCACCCCACATTGATTTGTTGGTGCAGGAAAGAGTTGAGTTGCACGTCAAGGAATAAACTTTTTACATACCCTTGCTTTTATATTTATTGCACGTGCATTAAGCAAGAAACGAAGAATGCTTGCGTGAAAGTGGGGAAGGGGGAAGATTTCTTGGCACTCAATGGAGCTTACCAGGGTTCCCCAGGACTATAGGTTGGCGAACTCACTTATCAATCGACTCACGCAGACCCACATCGAGTCACGAGTCTGAGTCCGTGCGAGTTCAGAGCGCAAGATCTATTTCTTGATTGAGTCTGAGTCAGTTCAATTTTTTCTGCTGACTTATGACCGGGACCAACATGCTTGAAACCCCTGCTTCAGATGGGTAGTACTGATGAACCTTTAATATTTAATATGCACAGTTACATTAGTTGAGGAGAGGTACGGTACTTAAGGCTTGAGCAAGCACTAGTTAGCACCACAGTCTTTCGCTGGTGTACAAAGTGCACCACAAGTTCTGCGGGTGGAGCTTGCGTTTCTTCTTAGGTTGAAACCAAGCATAATTGTGATCAAAAAGCATGGCACAACGGCATGAGAGTTGTCCGTCCGCGACAGCAGGTCCCCAAAGGCAAAAATGAAGGCGAAAAAAAGCAACAAACAGAAATATAAACCATAAAACGGAAAGAACAAGCATTCCACATTTAGCTTGAAATGCAAACTGTCTTTAATTGTGGCTTCACAGTAGTAACCTTCACATCTGCACCAAGATGCGCCTCAGCTCAAACCAGTTGTAGAAATTGGCGATTAGCGGGGGCCCATTTCAAGCACATTTCAAGGGCAGCTATGAACTGGTGTGGCTCGAAACATTCCAGAAAGAACAATGACTGTGCTGAGACTCGCTAAGATTAACTATAAAAGCATGCATATCGTGGCGCTGATTCTAAACATCGCAAAGTGATAAAATAATCTCTTAAGTGGCTATACGAACCAGGAGTTTAACTTCGCCGGCGCGTGTTCATACAGTGTGTGGTGGTCTAGAGATGAAAATTTAGATGCATTGTTGCTTGACGTTTTTGAATTACATTTGAAATTAGATTTTATGTGCCTTACTGAACTTGTCTCTACTCTAGTGAACTCTTCTATGTCACTGTAACATCGATTGAAACTGCAGAAGTGCCAATAACGTAATTACTATAAAATTTTTAGGGCTTACCCACAGCACGGTCTTAAAGAATATCGCACACTCACCTTGATGAGTTTGTCGCACTCCTTGTGAAACTGCAGGAGGTCATCTTGTGGACTGAGAAAATTTTTCTCTACCTCGAGGTACTCTGCGAGCAAGGCGACGCAAATAAGCATCTAAACGGCAGAGTACACAATAAATAACGGATACCTGATTCACAGCTGTGACTCAACTGTCTGAACAAGCGGCAAATTAACATTGTTGGACTTTGTTATTGTGGAATCGTAACTTGTGGAATCGTAACGAATAAAAAAAAACTTCTCTTTTTTTTATAGGGATGCTTTTGGGAAAGGTTGTCGCCCTTCTTCAGAAGGGCAGGCAGCATTTCAAAATCAGCAACTATCGTCAAGTTTCTCATGTAAACCCGCGCTGTTGCTAAAGAACACTCAGACAAGCTGCAAAGTTAACTCCTCCAAATAAAAATGTATCGAAACGAGCAGGACCTCACTAACACTGCAGATCACCTTTGCACAGGTTTTCCTTCTCATTACCGATTCGCCCTCGATATCTTCACCGCAATTTACAACCGTAAAATAAGTCTGCTTGTTGCTATACTGCAAAAGACGAGGTGTTATTTTCTCTATCTCTCTTGCCCATCGTCTCTGTGCTCTCTCTTGAACATGCAAAACATTTACTTCCATGAAAAAATGACACTTGTGAGGTAGTGTTTAGCAAGTAATGTGCCTTTGTGTTCCATCTTTATCCTACTGTTATATTCCAGAGTTTTTTTTCTTATTTCTTTTCGCTACATCATGTATTTCTAATTAGTTCAACACTTGAAATGAGTGGTTTGACACTTGCAATGAAACGAATAGACAAGAACAAAATGTTTACCCTGTGCGGAAAGGAGGGACTTGAGGAACTGCCTCGGCGGTTTCCCGCGTGCGAACCCGGCTCGTAAAGCCCACCACATAGTCACGCGCCTTGAAGTTGCTGAAGAGTTGCGGGAACCGAGTCACGAAGCGCTTTGCTGCAAATAAAGGCACACTGAAGTGCTCGCTGCGACCCGTTGACAGATGGCAATATGCCCGATATGTTAGAAATCAGAGAACCAGTTTTGTTACGAAAGTTCGTGAAAACTGGCACGAGCACTAAGTAGCTTTACGATGGTTCCGTGAAATAGGATGACAGAGATACGATCTAGAGAACATTATATGAAAGAAACTTTTTCCCTTCTAAACATCCTGGAAGAGTTGAAGAGCTTACAAAATGCTGTAGAAGGTTGGCTAACTTTTGATTGCATAGTTGAACAACATAACTACTGATGGCTGCAACACTCCTGAAACACATTTTCTGAAACATAGAAACTTTCACTTTTTCGTGTATCACTTTTACATTAAACACAATTTAGAAGGGCTCTATTGCAACCTCTTGTGATAATATTGTACCATAGGACATCATTGGTTAAGGAAGTTTAAATGCCTAACGAATTATTTGCAAACAATACATAAACTGCAATTATATAAAATTAGGCTACTCAACATATGCTTTTTATTTAGATTAAAAAGGCTAACTTCTCTCATCAAAAATTAGTTAAAAAGTAACATCGTTTTGAATGGAATGGTAAAAGTTACAGCAATTCTACAAAACTGCACTACAAACTACTGGAAACTTAACAGTGGTGAAGCAGTCCTATCCATAGCCATCTGGGAGGCCACTGCTGCCATCTTATCGAATAGATTTGAGCAAGGGCCCAACATCCTGTTTGGTGGGACTATAAACATGCGACTGATATGAGAGTGCCGTCTCGAAATCCTTGAAGGGCACGGTATTGTTAGACCAAGGTCTGAACGTTATGCTAATAGGTCGGAAGATTCTTGCGAACTTCACACCAATAACGGCTCTCAGTGAAGTTGTAACAGTAGTTGTACTACATTCACACTGTCAAATTAAAGGTACCGCATACCTTGGTCGGCTGAGACTTCCCTGCCCGATTCAGTGACGTGGTTGTCATCACTGGGCTTGAATTTCAGCGTCCAATTGGAGAGCGCCTGCACGTCTTCTTGCACAGGTGAACTGGACAATAAGGAAATGCCAGCAATAAAGCAATATTATTTCTTCGTTACTCAAAATTACTTCATCCAGCCGACACTGAAGTCAAGAGAATCAAAACACGCATATTGCTGAAGACTAGGAAAGAACAGTTAAACCCATGGAATACACCATGCAACTGGGCATGCCATGTTATTATTTCGAAATCAGAAGTTCTCCTCGGGCACACAATTTTCGCTGATTACCCACCTATCATGACACGAGTTTCTACTTCAATCTCGAGTGTGTGCTACGACCAATTAGATTTAAACAAGCCTTAAAGTTAAATAATGTGAAACAATAAGTTAGTTCAGATTGATAAATGTCACTCCGAGAACTATTAAACTAATGTCATTATTCTCACCATCATACCTTTAATATGAGAAGAGAAAATCAAGGCCAATCACCGATTTTTAAACTTTGTTTTGTTTATATTTTCATGTGCGACATCATAAAATTCAAAGTGCATTAGTGCATTCTCAGCTTCTGGCGACATTGGCCCAACGAAATATTCTGAAACTCTGTGTGTGACGTCTATGACCCTGTCATAGGATAATGCACTCCATATTTACCAACTAGGAACAATGTGAATCCTAGCAGACACCGGGAAAGTCCACGACATCAATGCAATTGGTGTGGAACACTCAAGGTTGTTTTGCCATGTGCATTTTTTTGGGCACATACTATTCAGGCTTAACAAATACCTACTATTTTTTGATACGCACGGTGATAATGGTTTGTGAAAGAGCAGTTTACTATTACCACGAAAATATGTTTTCTCTTTTATGTCCGTTTAAAGGGACCCTGGAACGGTTTTGACGATTTTGTGCACCCACATTGGGCAGGTAGACCAAGCCCTAAGAGTCATTTACTAACAAATTTGAGCTCTGTGCGTACACTGCGTAATTTATTACAACACTTTAAATTTGCACATCGCTGCAACTCGACCAAACGCCTTTTCAATCCGCCCATTGACGGAGCAACATGCTCTGCCCGCTAGACGTCACCGAGGCTGCTGATCTGATTGGCTGTATAACGCGCGGCACAGGCCCCATGAAGGCGGAGCTTAGCCCCAAGCGCTCAAAGACAGAGTTAAAATAGTTGAGGGTGAAAGGCGGAGCAAAAGAGGAGGGTACCTATCATTAGCTCCATTAATAAGGGGTATTTCGATGAAATTATGATATCAACGATTTGCTCCAGTAGTAATGGTTGAATAAAACAGGTCACTGACCAATGTCAAACAAAACAATGACGTTTCGGGACTCGTACGGATCCCTTGTTCACAATGGAATGACGGCTGAGCAACAGGTTCTTATGTAACGTTGAGCGCATGACGCAAAGTCCGGGAGTACACGTGGTTTAGTGTGCCAGATGATCTATTGATTGTGTTACCTGTCGTCTGAATGATTAGTGATTCGAGGTTCAGTCTGGTTGTAAAATTCTTCTCCGTGGCCATGATGCGTGCGTTGTCCCAGCTTATCTCGTGGCCCGTCTTCTCGGCATGCTCTGCGAGTGCATTTGTCACTGTGTGGCACTTGGCGACGTCATTCTTGTGTTGCATCAGACGTCTGCAGTAATTTCCACTCGTGCCAATGTACACTGATTCGCAATCGGCGCATGGTATCTTGTAGACCACACCAGGAAAGTGTTGCCGAGGGAGAGGATCCTTCACATTTAGCAACTCAGCCTTAAGCTTGCTTGTTGGAACATGCGCGATCTGTACACCACGTTTTCTGAATAGACGGGCTAGGGCTTCGCTTACATTTCAGATATAAGGAATCGATGCACGCTTTTGCGTAGACGATGTGTTATGCATGGCTTGACTAGTTGACTGCAGTTTATGCATGACGGATTTAGTTGTTTTCCTAATAAAAATCTTGGGGTATCCATTCCTGATCAGGTCATGTTCATTGGTCCGGAGCTCCTCCTGCAGGCTTTCTTCATCGGAACAAATGTGAATCGCTCGTTGAACTAAAGACCGAATCACTGAGCGTTTGTGGGCTACCGGGTGGACTGACTCATAGTCGAGGTATCTACCGGAGTGCGTTGGCTTTCGGTACACAGCGAAGGCGAGGCCTGTGGGAGTACGTTTTACAACTGCATCCAAGAAAGGGAGGCAACCGTCTTTTTCTTCTTCCACAGTAAACTTGATGGAAGTCTCGACGCCATTTAGGCAATCAAGGAAAGCTTGGACGTCTTTCTTCTTTATCACGCAGAAGCAGTCGTCGACGTATCTCATAAAAACCTTGGGTCTCGGCTGAAATGTTCCCATATGCTTTCTGCTCAATTGCTTCCATTGTGATATTCGCAGTTGTGACCGAAATCGACGCTCCCATTGCGGTACCGAAAACTTGCCTGTAGAATTCACCCTTGTACGAGAAGTAAGTGTTGGATAGGCAAAACCGTAACAAGGTGCACAGCTCGGTGACGTCGAACGGTGTGCGATCGGCCAATGTCGTGTCCTTGTGAAGCAATTGTCTGGAAGTGTCTACAGCAAGGTCGACGGGAACACTTGTGAAGAGGGAGCAGACATCAAATAAAACCAGTATTTCGTCGACATCCACAGTGATACTCTTCATTTTGCTTATGAAGTCATTGGTGTTCCGGAGGTTAGTTTCAGTAATGATGTCTGCTCCCTCTTCACAAGTGTTCCCGTCGACCTTGCTGTAGACACTTCCAGACAATTGCTTCACAAGGACACGACATTGGCCGATCGCACACCGTTCGACGTCACCGAGCTGTGCACCTTGTTACGGTTTTGCCTATCCAACACTTACTTCTCGTACAAGGGTGAATTCTACAGGCAAGTTTTCGGTACCGCAATGGGAGCGTCGATTTCGGTCACAACTGCGAATATCACAATGGAAGCAATTGAGCAGAAAGAATTGGGAACATTTCAGCCGAGACCCAAGGTTTTTATGAGATACGTCGACGACTGCTTGTGCGTGATAAAGAAGAAAGACGTCCAAGCTTTCCTTGATTGCCTAAATGGCGTCGAGACTTCCATCAAGTTTACTGTGGAAGAAGAAAAATACGGTTGCCTCCCTTTCTTGGATGCAGTTGTAAAACGTACTCCCACAGGCCTCGCCTTCGCTGTTTACCGAAAGCCAACACACTCCGGTAGATACCTCGACTATGAGTCAGTCCACCCGGTAGCCCACAAACGCTCAGTGATTCGGTCTTTAGTTCAACAAGCGATTCGCACTTGTTCCGATGAAGGAAGCCTGCAGGAGGAGCTCCGGACCATTGAAGATGACCTGATCAGGAATGGATACCCCAAGATTTTTATTAGGAAAACAACTAAATTCGTCATGCATAAACTGCAGTCAACTAGTCAAGCCATGCATAACACATCGTCTACGCAAAAGCGTGCATCGATTCCTTATATTCGAAATGTAAGCGAAGCCCTAGCCCGTCTATTCAGAAAACGTGGTGTACCGATCGCGCATGTTCCAGCAAGCAAGCTTAAGGCTGAGCTGCTAAATGTGAAGGATCCTCTCCCTCGGCAACACTTTCCTGGTGTGGTCTACAAGATACCATGCGCCGATTGCGAATCAGTGTACATTGGCACGAGTGGAAATTACTGCAGACGTCTGATGCAACACAAGAATGACGTCGCCAAGGGCCACACAGTGACAAATGCACTCGCAGAGCATGCCGAGAAGACGGGCCACGAGATAAGCTGGGACAACGCACGCATCATGGCCACGGAGAAGAATTTTACAACCAGACTGAACCTCGAATCACTAATCATTCAGACGACAAGTAACACAATCAATAGATCATCTGGCACACTAAACCACGTGTACTCCCGGACTTTGCGTCATGCGCTCAACGTTACATAAGATCCTGTTGCTCAGCCGTCATTCCATTGTGAACAAGGTATCCGTACGGGTCCCGAAACGTCATTGTTTTGTTTGACATTGGTCAGTGACCTAGTTTATTCAACAATGCCTATACCTGACCAGAGGGCATTCCGTCGAACTCTCGACTACTTCCAGTAGTAATCTAATCAGAAATGTAATGAGGAAAAACCGCTTCAGGAACCCTTCAAGTATACTTCCCACAACACAATTTTTTCACTAGGACACACACCACTGCTGTCAAAAGTGGTAAACTGCATTGAAGCTGCGTCACACCAGACAGGAGCAAGTCACCAGCAGTTAGGCCCCAAAAAGGGTACGTAAATATTACCCAGCTAGATGTTTCAGATAATTCTTAATAAGGAAAGGATCAGTCTTTCAGGGACCGAATGTTGTTTGCTATTGTGTGTAGGCTGCCCAATAAAACAAAAAATGGGGCTCTTTGTCATGACGATGACACGAACCTCTGCTACTGGCCTGAAGCCAAACAATCTAAAATTGTGTCACATCTCAGTCTCCGACCAGATTACATTTGTTCAAATATTACCTAATAATTATTCAAATTACAAGAGAGAGACTGACAAAAGTTGAGTGGAAGTGAGAAAACCTTAACAGCAACAGACAAATCTTGTTATAGTGAACCTGAGAATGGAATGGAATGAAAAAACTTTACCTGAGACTAATGATTTTTTCAGATTAACGAATTTTTCAAAAATTCCCCTCCAAATGTCTATTGGTTTAATGTAAAATATTTTACTATGAAAAATTTCAGAATACCGAATGTTTCATAGTAACGTATCAAATTTTATTCCTCTTATATCTTCACAACACTTCAAAATAATGAATTGCAATTAAAAAGTCACTTGACGCTGTAAAAATAATCCCCAGCTCCGTACCTGCCACTATCATCATCAGAACACCCGCTCAATTCTCTACCTCTCCGCCAAATTCGAACGTGCGATAGCTTCACTGCCGTCACTCTTGCCTGGTACTTGTTTTTCGTGTCAGGCTTTGCCCCCGTTGCCTTGTTTTTGTGGCCTGCACAGTTTTTACAAGGCTGCTTTCTAGCCTTTTGGTTGGAGGTTGAACGCTCAAGATGAGCTCCAGAAACAGCGCGAAAGGAATGCTACAGCAGTGAGAAATTCGATGCGAACCACCTATGGGATGAAGTCGCCCATGATTACCTAAGCATGCTTTGACATTGCTCGATCACTACGCACAGTGCGACGATGAAGCAGGTACATCAGCTTAGCTGACGACGGATAAGATTTATACTATTTGTCATTAAAAGGGAATGGCTACAAGAGCGAACACAACATTGAAACAGCACGCGCGAACCAACGTGAAGAATGGGTATATAACACTGATGCTTTGCAGTGCGTAAGAAGGATGCACACACCTAAAGAGTTTGTCTTTCAGCAGTGCAGCTGCCCCACATCAGGATAAATCGTGCTCTAACGTGCACTGATTCCTTAATATTTCGTGTTTGTTTTTTCACGCTTACCGTAATTACTCGAATCTAACGCGCACCTTTTTTCCGGATAATCGAGTTCATAAATCGCATGCGCGTTAAAATCAAGTGCGAAAAAAAAATGAATACCGTCATTCTATTGCCATCGACATTTCCAAAACGGCCGCCCCCTACGTGCTTCGGCATGACGCGTCGGCCATTTCTGCCTATGTGTTTCTCATGTGCGGCACTTCGTACGTGTGCTGAGGAGTTCGTCATCTTGTTGTTCATTAGCATCGAGGGCATGAAAGGGCCGACTCCAGAAACTCGACGAGTGCACCACGATGCCGCTTTTAAAAGAAAAGTCATCGCATGTGCCAAAACAGACGGAAATCGGGCCGCATCGTGGTCGTTCGGAGTTCCCGAAACGTGCGTGTGGGACTGGCGGAAACAAAAACAGAAGATTGTCAAAGATTCATGCAAATGCTCCAGTGGACCACAGCAGGGCCGGTTTCCGCAAATTAAAGAGCTGCTCGCCGAGTATGTGCTTGAGCAGCGAGCGACACAGCGGCCCGTGACGACAGAACCGCTCTAAGTGTGGGCTATGCAGTTAGCTTTAGAAAAAGGGCTAACGCGGAGCCAGTTCAAAGCGAGCAGGTGCTGGCTAACTAACTTTATGAAGAGGAAAGGCTTTTCCCTCCGAAAGCGAACGGGCAAGCGCCAAAACTTGCCGGACGAGTACGAAAAAAAGCTTTACAGTTTTCAGATGTTCGTCCTAAACTTGCGGCACAACAATGGCTACCTGCTTGGGCAAATCGGAAGTGCCGATCAGACGCCTCTTCGCTTCGACATGCCTGGCACCACAACCGTCGAGAAGAAGGGGGCGAAGCAAGTTCGCATGCTGACATCGGGCCACGGTAAAACAAGAGTGACGGCAATGCTCAGTTGCACGTCAGATAGGCACAAGCTTCCCCCGTACCTCATATTTAAACAGAAGACACTCCCGAAAGGAGTCGTTTTCCCGACTGGTGTGATCGTGCGGCCCAACGAGAAAAATGGGTGCGCGTTGCAATCGATGTCTTACTTTTTTTTTTTCGTCGTGAAAACCGAGTGCGCGTTACAATCTAGGGCGCGGTAGAATCGAGTAAATACAGTATTTGAGCATAACGGGGTCTTGAATGAACATACAGCACAGGTAGGCATCTCAAGTGTTTGCGTTTACAATTTTTGTGCTAATTTTTAATATTATCACTACAATGCCTTTTCAAAAAAATGAATAATTTTTAGCAATCTCTTGAGATTCGTTGTATTGAGATTTCAGTGTATTACAGTAACACATGGCTGTCGAGTCAAGCTCACCCTTGCTGGCACTAGCCGAATCCAAGATGGCGCGATGCTGCCGAGACATTGCTTCCACCATCTTGACAATGTCGTCCCGATCGGGGTAGCGTGTGGTGTGGCGGCTGTAAAGGAACAGCCCCTCCACATTGCACCCTGTTTGCGAAAAGGACGTTAGAAAACATGTAGCACTCGTGACAAAGAAATGACGTGACAAATCCTCAATAGGGCTAGCTTTGTTAGAGTACTAAGACAAACAACATAAACGACTTATTTCAAGAGCGTAAGGGAATGAAGGTGCCTGTCACAGTTTTCCCTTGCCCCCCCCCCCCCCTTATTATTCTTTATGCTATAAACCTCTAGCATAAGCAAAAGGGAATGAAAAATTAAATGCCAGGCCTGCACAGAACATGCAACACGGTCAAAGTGAAAGCCAGAGGAATGGCCTTTATAGAACTAGCTGTAAACTATAGAACCCACGTAATTTCATAACTTTGCCATTATTAATCATTCTGCAAAGCGAGAAATCCACTCTTTCTATGTGGAGCATTATGTGCACCCTGTTGATGCTATGGCTGATGACAAAGAATGATGTCTGAGCCCTTTGTAACACGCCGCAACCTTTCTAGGGAAGCCAGTGATATTTTTTAAAAAATGGCTTTGAAGCGTCTAAGGACAGTTTGGTGCCAGCTAAATTCGAACGGTGATGCGAGAATTCTCAAAAAAGAATGCAAATAGCACTTTTTGGCAAAAAACAAGAAGCTGAGGCCACAGGACTCCTTGAGATGCCGAGCTAACGCAGTGATGTTGTCCTCGGTATGCCGCGTTATTTGCAACAATGGCACTGATGAAGCGTGGCCCCTTCGATTAGCACTGATAAATCACGAGTTAGTCACGGGGACCACTGTTAATGATACGAGAGATGCCTGTCAACAGCTCCGCCGCGGTGGTCTAGTGGCTAAGGTACTCCGCTGCTGACCCGCAGGTCGCGGGATCGAATCCCGGCTAGGCGGCTGCATTTCCTATGGAGGCGGAAATGTTGTAGGCCCGTGTGCTCAGATTTGGGCGCACGTTAAAGAACCCCAGGTGGTCGAAATTTCCGGAGCCCTCCACTACGGCGTCTCTCATAATCATATGGTGGTTTTGGGACGTTAAACCCCACAAATCAGATGCCTGTCAACATTGCACTCGGCCGTTTGTGGTTGCGGTTATTCTTGATACCGTAATTCACAGCTGTTGAAAATGGGATCAGTGAATGGTGACAACCTTTTGTTGGAGTGCAGCACAGCTCTGCCAAAGGAATCGAATATGACACGAAAATTACGACATTGTTAAAGGTAATGCCAGTTCTTGCTAACCAAAAAGTTCAATCAAGTTCTAAAACTTCTTCAGCATCCCTTTCAACCATCCACTCATCATGCGATTTGCATTGTGTGATGCCTGCTGTTATGTTGCCCTTATTCCACGCTATTAATACGTTAACACAATTCCATGCTCGACAGGGTCTTTTTGTGGAGATTTAGTAATAGATGTGGCTTTAAGGTAGAATGCTCGCCTGGCATGCAGAGTGCGCCGATTGAAATCAAGCTTGAACTAGTCGTATTTTTCGTCATCATGCGTGGCGGCTGCTGCAGAAGCTAGCGGACAACTAGGACACCAGAATCGGTTGTTGTGATCTCATAACAGCTTTCTGGTGAAACTACAATACTAGACATTGATAATTTGGTTACAGTGATTCATCACATAATATCCTACCTGGTACAATGTATTCGCCCTGTTTGTCCAGCTGGTACATCTTGACCAGCACCCGGTAGTCGGTCTTGGTGCCGTACAGGCGGTAGGCGTTCTGCTCCTTCCCATGGTAACAGGTCTCCTCACGATTGTCGGGGTAGCAGACTGACGCGTTTTTGTGCAGCACCAGGTACAGGATGACGGCGACGAGCACTATAACTGTCACGACCTGAAAGAAGTCAAATAAGAAAGGTCTGTGGCGGTATGTTCAGCTCAGCACCGATTCAATGTAGCGACAGAGAAGTCCATGGAGCAACTTGGAGCTGTTGGCGCCTTGCGGCTGTAGGCACCTTGCGGCTGTAGGCACCTTGCGGCTGTAGGCACAGTCATAGGCGTGCACAAAGGGGTCACCAAGCCAGCCCCATATTTTTACTCAGTCAAACCTATTTCGACATAGTCAAAGGCTTTTCGGAAGAGGCAAGGGGGGGAGCTGCCCCCGTGAAATAAGATTAAGCTAAACAGCCTTGATTAACACATGGAGGAAGCTATATCTGTGATAAAAGTTCTTCGGGATTGCCAGTCAACTTTGCACTTTACGCACTGTTAGAAAATCTTTCCGGACATGTCACGTCAGTGAAAGGCTGCCTGTACTGAATGCTCTCCATAGAGAGTTTTAGAATAGCGTTCCTCCTCCCCCCCCTCCCCCGAAAATCCAAATGCACGGTGTTTGGGATTTTCTGCGGGCGGACCGCAAGTGTGAACGGCGGCTCGCGTTACGACGCATATGTGCAGCGGCGGCGACCGCACCGCAAGAACTTGCGGTGCGCTTTTCTAGAACTGCATAATGAAGTTCGGTAGGGTTGAGAACTGGGCTAGTTGGCGAGATATCATTTGAACATGAGGTATAGCACTCTTTATTTTTGTCCATGTGTCGCATCGGATTTACGCTACTAGACCATATGTTAAAATGAGATCTCCCTAATACAGCATGACATCTCCCTAATACAAGTCGTTCGTAGTCATGGTTGCCGATGCGACCCTAGCGCTTCGCGACTGCAACTCGTACTTGGGTTTTTAAAACGGCGATAGCAACAAGAGAAACCTCCAGGTGGCTAGTCTACCACGCTGAGATCAGTTCATCGAACAGAAGAAGCCTCTAAATAAGCACGAAGAGTCTAATCACGGCAATGCAACCGCACAAAGCAAAAAAAAATTTGCAGTCAAATTTAGCAGCAGTCTGGCAACACTAACCCTCCCAATCTGGCAACCACTTATGCAACGCCAAAAGGAACCTTGCCCCGCACAGTTGTGACAGCTTTAGTGCGCGATCGGGCCGCTGCAGGCGCCAGCCATCAGATCGCATCAACTTGCCGACAAACAACGATGCTGACATTACTAGTATTCACAATAAATGTGCTAGCGTTACAGGAGTCATCACTAACCGAGCACGAGGCGTACGGTATAATTGGTTCGTGGGCACGACGACCGTCAGCCTGTAGTCGCGGCCCGTTGGCAGTTGGGTTTCCGGCGGAATTTTGGGCGTTGCCGTTGCTGCCTTTCGGAGTCATTTGAGCTCTTTCTTTTCTCGGTGTTAATTTCGGTTCCGTGACGAGGCAGGTGATCAAAATCGCAACAGCGCACGGGCCGCGCAGCCACCCGCCGTGCGCGCGCCCGGCCGTGAAAAAATTTGACAGGTTTGATGCGCCTTGGCTAGTCCTGGCAGCATCCTGGCTTGGCTTTGGCGTTTTTTGGCTTGACTCGATTTCGTGCAGCTGCAAGAGGGCCTAATTTTATCAACGCCTCCTCTAGAAAGATGCCTGAGGAATAGCTCGTGTTCTCAGCGGAGTTGGCCTACCTTCGGTTTTAAACAAGCTCCGCGCGGTGGCGCTCGCGACCGACACTATGATCACGGCGACGAGCGGTACCAGCTTAGTGTTTTTCATCTGCGGCCCATAGGGGCGCGTCAGTCGAGAGTTGTTCGAGAGCTGCAATTGTGCACCACTGTTTCGAAGGCTATGCAAAAAGTTGCGTTGTTGCACCGTCCGCCACAAGTGACGCTAGCGACCGAGAACATTTTCAAAGTGAAGAAGAGAAAGAGGTGGCAGCTGTTTTTTTTTTTTTTTCTCATGCGGCAGGCATCTTCTTAGAGGAGGCGTTGATTTTATCTTTCGACCCGACATAGCGCTCGTGACCCTACTGGTGTCCTTCGTGTCCTTCTTGTCTCTGGGTCGTCGTTTTGTTCTCGCGCTATAACTATCGTCTGGCCTACTGAAGCTTTGTTCGGTATTTTCAAGAGGGCATTACTTTTCAAGTGTCTGCATAGGTGTTCTGCTTGCCTGCGGATAGCTCCGAGTGGTTACGGCGGACCGTAGAGTTTATGCGATAGATGGATGGATAAACTTTATTGCGGTCTCTCGGAACGCACGTTGGCACGTTGCGGGTCGCTACCGCGTTGGAACAGAAAGATCGAGTCTCAGCTGCGCGGCGGGTCCGTTGGACTGGCCAGAACTGTTGTTCGAGCCAAGAGTTTGCAATGACATCCTCCCCATTTGGTGACAGTTTGTGCAACACCATTAAAGCCACCTCGACTATGTTAAGATGCAATGTACGAGCCAAAACGAAGCCCTAACAACAAAAACGTTGCTAACAACATACGAGATGAAAATAGGAGCGAAGGCTGCGCGCAGGAAAAATCGAAACAAACAGTCAAACAACCTGAGAATGTGGCGCTCCTACTGATTCACGGGCTTGAACAAATTTTCGCTGAACTGGACAGGCATAAGCATAATAGAAATAGCAGATCAGATTGTTTAGGGACCAGCGTTTGAAAATATGCTGCCACGCTGTTTGTATCAGATGCAGCACCTGATTTCAATCGTAAAAACAAACTTAAGGATCGAGGTGGGAACGAGATTGTTTAGTTCGCTTCGGCCGTAGAGGCCGAATCGCGCAAAGCATCGCGTGCGAGAGCCAAGCCAGTTCCAGGCGGGTTAACAGGTTTTAAAAAAATAGCACGCACGGGCTGCTGCGAACGTTAATTGCGATAAATTATTGTGTACTCACACCGTCGATTTCGTTTCGGAGGGTGTACTTGATGCGGTAATAGAGGGCCGCGATTTTGTTGGGGTTAGCGAGGCGACGATCCGCGTAGATGATCATGGCAGGTAGTTGACTCCAAGAGTAGCAATTATGTTCTTGTTCGCTTATTAACCTTGGCGCGCACCCACTGTGGGGAATCGGCCAGAAATCGGGTGATGTATAAGATATTATGAAGCTTTAGAATAATCTATTGAATAGAAGTATTGTAGATTATATTAGTATGTTTGGTTTGTTGTCGTTCATCGACATGTGGCTTCAACCCCGCTGTGACGGATTGACCAAGATGCTTTAGAAATTGTTATGAAAGTTTACAATAGGGCAGTTTATAATGTAACTGGAAGTTCTTATTACATAATTATACGGACATTTTTCGTTCTCAATGAAATATGTGTTATAAAAAAGCATTTCTTTCACACCAGTGCTTGGTTTTGCTGGTACGCGCGAAGAAAACAGATAGTGGTGCTAAGAGTCTCGATACAAACTAACCTTATTGTTCTTTCAACTCGGTCGATTCGGATACCGGTTCCTCCTTCCTCTCCGCGTCTTTGTTGGCGGTGTACAATGATGGAAAGGAACGTTGGTCTGCAACTAGGGTTCTTCGATGGCGGCGGAGGGGAGTCCTATCTGGATGGATGTATGCTACGAGCGCCACCTTTATGATGGGATGGTGGCATGTGTGCCACCAAGCTCGCAAGGAAAAAAAAAATATGAAAACTTTCTTTATATGTTGGTTGAATGTCTTATCTACTTCGAATAAATCGACCTTATTATAACAAAAAATATACAAATTTGTGTTCCATCTCTCTGCCTCTTCAGGCAGAACGACCCCATTTCTCACCATTTCTGTCCTTTATCTTTACTTTTCTGCCACCAATACTCTAACCGTCTCATACTTGCTTCTATCGCGGACGTGTTCGGCTTTCCATGTTTGTCCCTGAAACCTAAAGCCTCATGTAGGTCTGTACCCACCTGTATACCTGGATGGATATCACTGCGCATTCAATCAGAACATGTTCCGTTCCATTGTTTCTTTAGCTAAAGCTTGTACATTGTTCTTCTTCTTCATTGAATGTCGCTTTATGACTGCGCGTTTTAACCCGACCTAGCTTCGAACAGTAAAGGGCTTCCCCTCGAATTATCACAAAACCTCTCTCGCCTTATTTCGTTCTTCCCTTTTTTGCAGTTAACGAGAACCGACTTCTTTCAATCGCTGCCATCCAATAAATCCTCTCCGCTTCCCTGACTTTTCGCTTAATGCTTGTTGCCGTGTCACCCACACTGCCAGCCGCATATTTACTGCATGGTGAGCCTCCTAGTTCTTTTTCTCCACTTTTTCTCTACTTTGTGTCCACGCTCTTCGTATGCAAATACCTGAATACTTTCACTGCCCATCTACTTACCTTCATTTTCCTAAGCCTCTCTTCAAATTTCATTTTGTTCCGATCTTCCCTTACTTCAAATCCTGTTCATCTCATATCCCCATTTACAGCCTCATTCGTCTGGCAGCGCCATCTGCTGCGCTGTGGCGCACTTCGAGTTCACCATAGTTTTGTTGTGAATAGCACATCTGTGCACAGCGCCCCGCCGTGGTGGTCCAGTGGCTAAGGTACTCGGCTGCTGACCCGCAGGTCGCGGGATCGAATCCCGGCTGCGGCGGCTGCATTTCCGATGGAGGCGGAAATGTTGTAGGCCCGTGTGCTCAGATTTGGGTGCACGTTAAACAACCCCAGGTTGTCGAAATTTCCGGAGCCCTCCACTACGGCGTCTGTCATAATCATATGGTGGTTTGGGACGTTAAACCCCAAAAATCAATCATTCAATCTCTTCGTGGGAATAAATGTTTGTCCATCTCGCTCTCTTTTTTACAGTGCTAGGAACTCTGCTGCAAAGAGTAGGCACTTTCTCTCAACAGAGTTCTCGTAATCTCACAGAACGAGAGTGAACAAGCTCTCTCGCCTTCGCAAATGAAGTACACATACTCTCTGCGGTAGTTACGCTACTCTGACACAGAATTTTACAATCTGGTCGGGCATGAGTGCGTCAACTCCTGCTAGAGTAGAATCACTCTTTCCGCTAGGACCAACATTAGAGAGACAAAAAAGTGTCGAGCATTTTTTAACTATATAACACTGAACATGCTGGGTTTGTTAGAAGAAACGTCACATACACGGAACAGACATCTTACACAGCCCATTGAACCCACTGCTAAACACAGGGGCAGCACGTTTCAGTTTTCGCTTGTTAGCCGTCTGTACGGAGCGCTTGGGTGTTGAGTCTTTTTTTTTTTTTTACCTTCTTGGTATAGAAGAATTGTTCCGCGATTTAGAGTACGACGTTGTACTCGACTATGTGAGAGCTTGAAGCTGTCCCAGTACCTCAGAAGCGCGTTTAAAAAAAGTTGGTAACAAATTAGAGTACCAGGTAGGTACTCTACTTTGGGAGAGCATAAAGCCATTTCACTGGCCTCATACTTTATGAGGCTGTGGTGACAAAAAAATTACGCCATGAAGTTGCCCGACTTCACGAAGAGAGGCGAGTTCCATCGCATGCTGTCGATGCACTGCACAGGCAATTATGAAATAGCCCCGTGCTTGAGTCATTCGTGCAAATAAGCAGGGTAACACTGCACAGGGAATTATGAAATAGCCCCGTGCTTCAATCATTCGCGAAATATAGGAGAGTAACGAGTCAGAGTAGTACTAGGTACTCTACAATGGGAGAACAAAACGCCGTCCCGTGGACCTTCACAGGTACACCGCAGTAAACCCCAATGTCTGGGAGAAGAGCACTTAGAAAGACACAAATACGACACAAGCCATGCTACGTGCTCTCTATGGTGACCCTACCATCACGCTCAGTCTTTGCACAATTATTTCCTCAACGATTCACGATATTGTAAGCAATGCAATTGCGGTAAAAAGAACGCTCTCTAAAACATCTGCTCTTCAATTGAGTTTTTCTATGGACGTCTGAATAAGCTAGAGAAAAATTAATGTAAGTTTAGTGGCGGTTAAGTTTGAGCAAACGCCAGAGCTGGCATGTCGGCGCCCCCTTCTGGCGAACGAAGGTTGGGTTTTCTTCATTTATTCACCCTTTTCTTGGTATGCTGCTTCGTCAGTTTTTTCTTCTCTCTGTTTTATGACTTTCTATATAGCCACTCTTCCTCCTCGTAACGGTCTTGCGAGGGGGCGGGGGGCGCCAGATAGAGCCGGCGTTCGATCAGTTTGGTACAGTTGCTCTGCTCTCGCAGTTGTCCCTCCACTTCGAGAATGTAGGCGGGGGCCAGTACGCCAGTACACTGTAGGGGGGGGGGGGGGTATAGTGCCTAGAATACACTTACATTCTAGGCACTATAGCGGGGATGGCCAAGGAGGTTCTGGAGTGGCGGAGGGGCTCCGTGAATGCAGATGACGCGCCGCCGTATTGCTCAGGGCACAAAGCGGATGAGCTCATTGTAGCGTACGTGGTTTTCGCGTTGTTCTTGTGCTAGTAATGTTGCGTGTGGTGCCTCTAACTGAACAAGACGGTTCTAAACACGTCTGTGATGACACTTCGAGGGTTCGTGGGTAGCATTTCGCTGCACGAATGGTGTGAAGCGGGCACCGGGAACAACTTTCGATGTGCAAGTATGGGTTCGCTTCGTTCGCTCGCTTTTCCTCTCACATTTTCGCAACTACGACTGCATTCGCGAGTAAATAGATTTCTTCTTGCGTTCCGGGTGCACAGAGACACTTTGAAAATAATTTTTTTGCACGTTACAGGATTTCAAAGACGTCATTTTGCGCGGCAGACGAGAGTGCGCTCTGAAGCGAAAAGGCTAAGCGAAAAAAAAAAAAATTGACGACTTATGTTCAGTAGGCATGTTGAAGCAGGCTGTGTCGATGAGACTGGCTAAATAACGAGACTACGAGCTTGTAACATCGCTAACCGTGTTGCATCGTTTCACGCGCTCTTTCGAACGCCAGAACGTGAGTGTGCCTAATACAAGTGAACGTTTCGTTTTTTGAAAAGTAAATGTTGCACCGGCTCTGCGTTTCTGGGATTTCAAGTTTCTTATATGTTTGCGTGAGCACTGCACTCCCAATGGCAAAATTTCTGACGCTGCGATATGCCTCTCTTTTTGTAGGAGAAGAGCAGCACCACCGAGGCCTGAAGAAGTTCCTCGTTGCCATTTCGCACTACCACAATGCCCAGCGTGCATGCGCCAAAGCCAGGCTGTTTACGTAATAAGCCTATCTGCGGCATTGCGCGTGGGTGGTATGCACGTTGCTGAGGACGCGACGTCTCGCAGTAGTAAATGCGCGAGTCATTGCGGGCGACCATCCGCGAGCTCGCTTGCGCGCATGCGCTTGCGCCAACGCGCCCCCACACAAGGTCACCGAAAGCGCGTCTCGGTTGTATATTCTCCGGCTGCTGTGGCGAATCAACTTCTCGACGAAGCCTCTCGAGGAGAAACAAACAGGCGCTAATCAAAAGACGGGCCTCGCGTAACAAGCGTGTGTACGCGCAGAGGGACCGTGTATGCATTATTCATCAGTCACGTGACACATATTTCGCGCACCAAAAAAGAAAAGCGGAGCAGCATCGATGCGCTGAAACTCTCGGAAGGATCGTGTTCTGTATTTAGGAGAGAGAGACATAGAGAGAGAGAGAGAAAAAAAAGCCAACAGTAGAGAATAAGCGTCCGCGCAAGGTCGTTGGATGACGTAGACATGTCTATAGACCTTGTCAAAATGGCCGATTGGGCGAGTTCGCGATTCATGATTGCTTGAAATGGGAGCGCGTAACGTATAGACAAGGACAGCTACAAACACGAACAACTGCTTACTACCAATGGTCAAAATTTCCGGAGCCCTCCATTACGGCGTCTCTCATAATCAAATAGTGGTTTTGGGACGTTAAACCCCACAAATCAATCAATCAATCAATCAATCAGTGCTTACTACCAACTGGAAGTTTAATTGGAAAGCTTTGACAAATATTTACTAAAAGACAAAAGTTTCGTAAGCCCTTATATAAACCTTACCAAAGCCCTTTCTGCCTTACGGCATCTGTCACTGTTACGTAAAGGCAGCACTAGGAAACAGTGGCTTCTCTTTCGAGGGCTCTCTTTTCAAGAAAACGCATCACGGACATTATATATGGAACATATATTTATAATTTCACATACGATGCCACTCTGGGTGAAACATGCTGGTGGTCTAGTCCTACATTCCAAATACTGCGTGTGGAAGGTCGGTACACTCAATGCTTATATAGTTACGGCAGTCGCATATGTGATTCAAGAAAGGGGGAAAGGGACAAATCCGTGGGGGAAGTTTTAGTGCAACGTGTCCCGCCCCTCTCACCTACATCCTCCCACTGAAGTATTTAGGATAAGTATGTGATGCAAAAACAAGGTATTATGAAGGGAAGGGGTCAGACCAATTGTCAAGAGAATGTCTGACGTACCACTCGAAACGTACTATTGGTTGCGAAACTTTATTGAGGTCCTGCAAGGCGCGCGTCAGCGCGCAGCGGGCGACTCCCACGTCGGGACCGTTAGGCCAAGCCTATCGGCCGCTCCGCGGGCCTGCTGGACGGCCCAAAGTTGGTCGGCCAGGAGGGAGCTGCGTAGGGCCGCCTCCCACCTGACCGATGTAGTGTTGGGGTTAGTGTACATTGCCTTGCACTCCCAGAGCATGTGCGCCAGCGTGGATACATCCCCACATGCGGGGCAAGCGTCATTGGGAAACACGTCAGGATATATAGCGTGAAGGGATTTCAGGTTAGGGTACGTGTCGGTTTGCAGTAGTCTGAGCGTAAGGGCCTGTGGCCTATTAAGATTTGGATGAGGGAGTGGATATAGTCTATATCAGCGTACTATATCAGCGTTAAATGAAACCCGAACACCGGCAAGATTTCGCAATGGATTAGTGGGCGCCCTTCAGTTATCGCCACGGGCAGGTGCGCAGTGCTGTAAAACCGACTGTGCGCACCTGTCAGTATTGACGACTGGAAGTTGTGCACTGCACCGTTACCCACGTTTGCCTCTGTTCGGGTTTCATTCGACGCGGATTGTAGTACACAGCCACACCCACTGCCGGACAGCTGACCGCACCGCTGACGTCACGCACGAAAGTTTCACGTGAGAACCTGTTCCCAGTTGGAGCAGTGCGCGTCTTCGAGGAACCACTCCAGGAACCGGTGGTACGTGAACTTTCGCCCGGAGGCCGCGTCTTCGTGCAGCTTCGAACAGAGCTTGCACGCTGCGCTCTCGTACTTGAGCTCGGTGTGCTCCTTCCAGAGGAAGTACGAGCCGTACCACTCGGGCTGGCGGGCCACCTCTTGCAGGTACTCGCCCAGTCTCTCGGGGGACTCGAACTCCAGGGCGTCCACGTAGGATCCGGGCGGAGCCAGCGTCGAGTAGTTGGCGCCGCCCATCACCACGGGCACGATGTCGAACAGGAGGGGTCGGTAGAACTTCTCTGTGACATAGTCGCGACACAGGGAGTTCTCGAAGGACAGGTAGAAGCTGTAGTTGCGCGCCGCCTCCCGCAGGCAAGCGTCCGACGCCTTTGGTTGGCACACCAGGTCGCCGCACTTGCCGAACACGTCCACCCCGATGACTTTGCGGAGCCGTTCGACGTACGTCTCTCGCCTGCTGTCCGTGTTGCAGTGAGACACCATCCAGACGGCTATGGCCTTCCGCCTCTTCCCCGAAGTTTTCTCGAGGTCACCTCCGAAGTTCTCGGAGACTTCTGCGGAGGAACGCTTGGTGACCCGATGTTTCTTTCTTTTCTGCCTCGCTCTGAACTTATATCCGTACCGCGTCGTGACGTCTGAGTCGCTCCTGTACGTCATGGTGACGTTGAACAGTCCGTCCAGCTTTCGGAGTACGTGTACTGGGGTGGCCGTCGGAGGTTCGAGGCTGAAGAAGATCCAGCTCTGGTCGGGGGACCGACGCGGGGGCATGTCGTCCATTCGGATGTCCTTGCCGTGGAAGAGCAGGGCGCGGCTCGAACTGAGGTAGCCGCGTTGGCGGGTGAAAAGGCACGAGTGAGCGCATGTCGGGTCCACTACGTCTTCCTTGAAGTAAGGGTAGTCTTCCTTGCCGCACCAGGTGGTCCACAGAAGCACGACCAGAGGTCTGTTAGTGGTAGCGGCGCGGTGAGTGACATAGACGGTGCAGAGGGCGATAGTGACCAGACAGGTCTTCACCAGGGCGAATTTCCTTAGCGCCATAGTTAGAAGGCTAATTGACTCATTCACAACTGCCGATTGACACACGTCGGTGATTTCCTCTGATGTCGCGTCTTGTGACCATCCGATGGTTGATCGAATGCTGTGGTACGACGCAAAGCTATCAGACGCACTGCACGCGCACGATTGTCCATTTTAATAATTCGTATTGCTGCGATTCGGGGGACAACAAAGAAATCACTGGCGCGAAACGTGCGGAGTGTGCTCAAGGTATACGCGGAAAACGTCGCTATTCATCACTGTAAACACCTCACAATTATTGTAGGCACCATTTTTGGAAAACAACCACATTTCTTGCATCTTCAAGCACAGCGTTGATTTTTTTTCTGCGTGGCCCCAAGTAGTCTGATCCTGGTACGTCCCCTGGTCAGTGAAAAGGGAGAACTCAATTCATAGATGACTTCCAGAACAGAATCACTGCAGCGCTCACGTCGAAGTATCACAAACTGCCAACACGCGTGCGCGCGTGACAAATCCGCAGCACCGCCTTTCGGATGAACTCGCGACGAAACACCACAAAAACGTCGACACAGTGTCTGTTTTCCGTGAGCAGGAATCGACGTATTTCGGTCGAGAATCGCATCACTCGCTACAAAAAGCGTATACGCATGGGAAAACGCTGGAAACGCACTCTTTCACTGTGCCACTACGCGTCGCAGTTCCTTGTAGCCCGACGAAGCCTGATGCTCACAGGGGGACACTGCATGCGCGTGGGCAACGGCGGCGAGATACGACTTCCGAGTGCGAACCGGAAACGATGCCCGATAGCAAGCTCGTTTGTGCAGCGCCAGAAATGTAGGCCGGATGCGGAACTCCTATAGCTCGCGCGCAACGGCACTAATGAACCCAGCCTGGCGACTGATTGATTGACATGCGGGGTTTCGCGTCCCAAAACCACCATATATGATTATGAGAGACGCCGTTGTGGAGGGCTCCTGAAATTTTGACTACCTATGGTTCTTTAACGTGCCCCCAAATCTGAGTTCACGGGCCTACAACATTCCCGCCTCCATCGGAAATGTAGCCACCGCGACTGGGATTCGATCCCGCGACCTGCGGGTCAGCAGCTGAGTACCTTAGCCACTAGACCACCACAGCGGGGCAGCGGGGCGACTGCGCACTCTCCTGTCTAATTGAAATAGAATTTGTATTTTGAAATAATACGCAGGTGAACTGAAGTTAATTTTAATTTATGCTTTCAAAGAATGAATAAAACTTATTTATAGTCTGGCAGTTTCCTTCGGATGAAGCGGGGGGGGGGGGGAGAAGGCGGCAGCCGGAATTTCTTTTCATGTATAGGGGGGGGGGGGGGGGGGGGGGTTAAAGGGCTCTGATGTACATGTATTCCTTGGTGCGCTTAAATGCGCTTATAGATACAATCGCAAATTATGAAAAAGTGGCCCCCACCTTCCCGAAGGGAATCGTCAGGAAATGCGAATGCGTTTCTTGCTCCAAGAGTACACGGCGTTGTAATTTTAATGGCGTAAATTAATGACGATACGAGGACTTGTACCGTAACCATTTATTTACGCATTCATAAGCCAGCGAACGGTTGATAGTGAGGCGATCGCTTCACTCCATTTATACAGGGTGTTTCAAGAAATGCGTCCAATATTATTTAAAAATCAGAAAAATTAAGGCGCTATTCGCTGGCAGTCTTAACAGTGGCTGTTTCTGTAGTGGTAGGCATATTAAGGGGGTTCAAGACATCATTTGTAACAGTAATTAGGAAAGTTAAAATAATCCACCATTTTTTGGTGGAGTTAGGCAGTCAAGTCAAATAAGAGAATTGAGGTCCTCCATGCGAAGAAGCCGTTGCCGCTTTGAAATTTCGGAAAAGCGACCTATAGTAATAACTGCAGATTAATGAAACTCTCCGGAATTCAGTGGTGAAACCAAAGGACCGATGAGCGCAACAAGCAGACTACTACGATGACGTCACTGCGTTGAAAACATTGGTTACAGAGGTGCAGTTTTCCCCCGTTCGATAACGTATGTGCGTTATGCGTGCTGTGATTGCAGGTCCAACCAACACACACACACAAAGAAGTCGGTTGATGGTTGATATAACAACGCTCTCTCATTTCGGGCGTCTCAGACGCAGTTGCGCTCTTTCGCTTTTCGGTTTCGCCGCAGAATTTAGGAGAAATCCGTTATATCACAGTTATCACTCGAGGTCACTTTTTCGAAATCTCAAAGCGGCAATGGGTTTTTCGCATGAAGCACTTCAGTTCTCCCGTTTGACTTAACTGCCTAACTCCACTAATTAAAAAATGTTAATATTTCTTTCTTAATTGCTGTTAAAAATGATGTCTTCAACCCTTTTAATATGCCTGCCGCCACGGAAAATCCAATCGTAAAGACTGCGAGCAAATGACGCCTTTTCGTGACTGTTAAAGAATATTTGACACATTTCTTAAAACACCCTGTGTATGCGTACGAGCGAGCGGACGAAAGAGTGGGGCGCAGGGAGGAAAGAGAGTGAACGGCGAGAGAGGGAGCAGCAAAGCACTGTACCTACTCTCTCCTATACTGCCTCTACACACTGGGGTGCTCCGCGATGCGAGCGCCCTCACGCGCCATAGCGCACCCCTCCTCTCCACTCACTCTTCCCTACTCTGCCCGCACCACCTGCTCCGGTTGCTAGGGGCGAGGATAAGCGCGCGTGCCCGCAGCTGTTGCTATGAGAGAGGGAGTGAGAGCGCAGAGATGACACCTGCCGGCGCACGGACACCGCCTCGGACAACGCCGGACGGGAGAGGGAGTGAAAGTGGAGGGATAACATCTGCAGGCGTGCGGACGCCGCCGGACGCCTGACATAGCTCGACTAAGAAATGCATTCGCGTTTAAAAAAAAAAAGGCCCTACGCAAGTGCATCCACTTCAAATCCGGAAGAGGAGCACTCTGAGCTGCACTGAAGGCAACTAGACAAGTGCGCTGTGACAGACGACAAAATCCTGGGGCCCTGGCCTACCCAATCTCCGACTCCAGCCGCTATGAGGGCGTTGCTTCGGGTTGTTCGAGAAGCCGGATTCAACGACCAATGACAGTTCACAGACAGTGCTGTCGCATTTGCAGGATCTTCTCGTCCTAACTACCTGTAGTGTCGTCACGCATTCTGCCTCTTTCATTATTTCACCACCCCTTTTTCGCCTTCCCAGCTACGGAATATTCAGCCGCAGATCTGTTATAGTTCACCTGCCCGTCTTCTTTTTATTTTCACATTTTATTTGTCGGCGTGGTTGTGGTATATGACGTAATGCGTGATGTTTCTGCGGAGATCACATGATTCCGAGCTGTTGAAGCGCAAACTATGTCATCCCATGATATCTTCACTCGAACAAAGATGGGCCGATCCCAAAGGTAGTGCCAAACGACGCGGTTGCCGAAAGCTAAAAAACGTTAGATAGCGGATGGAGTCGTATCAATACAGCCGATAGAAGACAAAGACAGAAATGGCTTTCGCTTTCCCGTCGTCGTGGGCAGATGCATGAGGCTTCGACACGAGGGATTCAGAAAATCACCACGTGGTGACGTCGGCACACGACGTCATCCCGGTGTCACAAATAGCCGTGACGTACGCATAATAATGTGGCGTCCCATGATGACGTCATCCCGTGAAGCCGTCACTTAATTGGTCAAAAGTAGGCTAATAACGGAGGCAACGTAAAGCCAAGCGAGGGGCAGAAAGCTCGCAGTGCCTACGATCTTGGAGGCGATACAAAACGACGTTAAAGGCGAAGAAAAGAAGGCGGCGCAGAATCGATACGTTGACTGCGTGGAAGAAGAAGGCGAAGGGACCCTGTGATTTCTTTTTATTTCCATTTTTTCGCGTCAGAGGGGCGTCTAAATATGGATTGTCACCGCAAGCCACACCCGGGGAAGAAAAGAACGACCACTTGTCGATATTCACTTTTCAACACCACGCGCAGTTAACGCGGCACTCGCGTCCTATACACATGTCATTCATTCCGGTGAGTGATGAGTTTTGTTCGAAAGGCACTCTGTACAGCCACAACCCGAGGTACATGTGTTGCTTTAGACATGGAGACTGTTAGCTGTCACAGTGAAGGTTGCAGTTCGATCACTTCGGCTGCATCGCGGGCAACGGACCTTCTTGTGAGCGCTTGCGAAATCTGTGACGTAAATGCGACACGCGTGACGGATTTGAATGTCTGCGCTTCTCGTATCTGGGCCGCTGCGGCGCACAGTGACAGGAGTTACCTTCTGTCGCTGGTTCTGCTAGAATAGCGTGTTGAGAGAGACTATACTTGACGGATGGGTCTTCTGCCTCGCCATATTGGGCCGCAGCCCTAACAACTAAACGAACCATTCTATAGGGTAGAAGCATGCGCGGGTAATCGGTCTAGTGCGCGCATTTTGCGTTTAATGACATTATCAAGTCACGTAGAGGTGTACAGAAATCAGAAAACATTCGTCAAACATTCCTAGGCAGCCGCACCCGTGTTTCTTACGTGAAATCGTCGATGCTAGTCTGTTTTTTTTTTTCATAAATACAATAGAAAAATACTTTCATCGTGGATGACGTCATAAGTTAATGACGTCACGGCTATCTGTAGTAGGGGAACTCGAATGTGGAGTTGTTGGCAACTCCCGTCTCTTATTTTAATGTTGATTTAAATTGCAACTTAAAGCAATCATTTTAACGTGATACACTTTGTATTCTGGCTGGCGACCAAGGCTTGCGAATCAGCTTAGAAGTCAGCGCAAAAGAATTTGCTTGCAAAATTGAAAAAAAAGAGAGAAACACTCTCGTGATGAAAATAGGATCAAATAGCGTGCATAGAAAAAATGTTTTTTTAGTAACAGCTTACCATACTTGTTTTATTTTCGTATATAGTAAATAAAGCTTTAAATATTCGAGCTAGGTAACTCTACATATCGGAAAATAAAAAAAAGTTAAAGCATATCCACGGAGTGAAGGATGATGAGCGGGGTGAAGCGTCCATCGGTCCGTCCGTCCGTGTGTCTGTCTGTCCGTCTGTCTGTTTGTCCACTAGAACACGCATCGGATGAATGGATGGACGGATGAACTGACGGATGCTTCGCCCCACTCATCATCGTTCACTCCAAGTATATGCTGTCAATTCCCTTTTATACGGAAACGACTAACGTCATCTAGTGATATTATTTCCAAGGACATATACACACAACGCCATCTAGTGAACAATTCTCGAAACTAACTGGATGTGGCTACGAGGGAACGAGCCACGCCCTAAAGAGCTTCTCCCCGAATGGGAACTATTTCATGGCCGCGCTCGTCGACATGCGTTTCTGTTCTGAAGCTTTCACAGTATTGATGTTACGTTTGGCCGAGTCAAGTTCCAAGCCGGAAGCGGAAGATGCCGCAAGAAAGAAGAAAATACTTTTAATGCGGCATGCTTGCCGAAGAAAAAAAAATGTGTGAAAAAGGCCCCCCACAGCGTGGTCCGCAGACATTCATAAAAGAACGCCGTGATCAAAGAGGGAGGGGAAACACCAAGGCAGGACAACAGATTATCGTCCGTAGCAGATAAGCCAAACTTGGGCGCTGGCTCATAAGCGGTTAGCGGTGTGCGAATGCAACACTGCCAATAACGTTATTGCCGAGTTCAACGATCCGTTCTAATTCCTTGCGCAGATTTGCCTCCGACTGCTCCTTGCCTTCAGGGAATACGGGTGAGGGTGAGGCAGCTTGCGGTT